GCGCCGGCGCCGACCGGCCGCCGCCGCCGCTGCCTCCGCCGCCGCAGCCGGCTCAGTCCGCGACCGGCCGACCGCGCGGCAGGTCCGCCGTGTCCGCGCGCTGTGTCCGCCGTGTCCGCTGTGTCCGCCGTGTCCGCTGTGTCCGCGGCCGATGCGCTCCCACCTGCCCGTGCGGCGAACGCTGAGCGCGCCAGAGGGCGTCCACCGCGCCTACCTGTCTCTGAGAGGGCGGCACGCGATGAAGCAGACCGCAGGTACGGGCGGTCCTCTGCGGCCGACGATGTCCACCGTTTTGTCCACATGTGTCTGGATGTGTCCACATGTGCTCGTATGTGTCCAGCTGTGTTCATATGTAACCCTCGGTATCCGTCTGTCCTGTCCTGTGTTGTCCTGTTTTTGCATCTCACTGCATTCACATGTGCCGATGTTGATCATCCTATGTATCCCAACGTGCTCGTCAGTATCCGCCGATGTCCAACCGTATCCAGTCGCATCCCACTGCGCCCATATGGATCCGCCTGCGTCCGCTTGTGTCCTCCCGTGTTCAGCCGTATCCTTAGTGTGCGTCTCGGTCCACCTGTACCCGAACGCATTTCTCTGTTCGCCTTCGTCTTTATACCACGTTGCTTGCATGTACCCGCCATCGCTGTAAATGTTCCGCTGCTTCAACAGCGTCTCAATGTATGTCGTCTGTGTTCTCCTGTGTCCACTTGCATCCGGTTGTACCTGGCGCGTCCGTCGGTGTACGTCGTTGTCCGCATGTGTCCTCCCGTATCTGTGTGTGGTCAGCCATGTTCGTCTGTGTCCTGTCGCTCTCGTCGTTATTCCGCTGCATTCGTCCGTGTCACCCCGTAATCTTCCCTGTCAGCCTGTGTGACGGCGTCAAACCGGGGCTTGTCGTATGTATCCTCCTGTGTCCGTGTGGGTGACGTCTGTGTCCGCCTGCATCCAACTGTGTCTCGCTATGTCCTGTCGGTGCACGGCTGTATAACGCTCTCTGCCTGTGTCCGCCCGTATGCATGCTTGGCTGTCTGAGTCCGCGTGTGTCCGTCTGTATCACACCGTGTCTGTCTGTGTCCATCTATCTCTCGTTGTTCATGCGGCTCGCACTTTGCCCGCTTGCACCCTGCTGTGCCGCTACGGTCTCAGATCTGGTCAATACCCGAGTAGTGGCTGAGATTTCCGGCCATGGCAGCACTGCAGCTCCTGCAGTCCGGGTGAACTCGCGTCGCCCTGTCTGCCCCGCTGAGCCCTCGCCCCGCTTCCCCATCGGCCAGGGAGTCCCCAGCTAATGCGCACTCCCCGCACGCCAACATTGCTTCGGTTAACTGCTTAGGCGTAAACTGCCGACCAGCGAGCGGCGCCGAACCACGAGATTGGTGGAGCGCCGCGTTACGTGCGCAGTACATTTTAGTCCGCACTGGGGTGTGGCGTGACCCAGTGGTGAGTGTCGAAAGGCCGTGTGTTCCGTATGTTCAGCATGGGTTAACATAGTCACGCTTATGGTAAGCACAGCCATCAACACGAAGGACATGACCTTTCGTTCTCAGTAAGTAATTAAGATACCAAAAAGCAGCTACAGTCGGTATGCGGGTGCCTACGTTGTTTCTTTGGTGACCTTCCAGTTGCATCATGCTACGGTTTATCCATCCTGACTGGGCAGAGACCGGTTATATGTGCGTTCTCGCTGTTCGTACTCTGTGTATCTCCGGACATTATGCATGATATGCTCATTGGGTATGCTGGGAATGGCTTGGCTGTGACGGTGGCTCGGCGGCAGCTGACGCACCGGGCGACGGCCGTGGCGTCGGGGCCCGCCCCGCCGGCGCCGGTCCAGCTTTGTGGAGGCGTCCCGGACCGGAGCCGGAGCCGGAGCCGCAGCCGTCGGCCTGTCCGACCGGTCGCCGCCACCGTTATCTCTCGCCGTCTGTGGGCGCAACAGAGATGCCCAAAGGCCAGCTGGCGTCACCCCGGGCCGGGGACCAGCCTCGAGGTGGAGATCGTGGGTGGCGCGACTCCCGGGGAGCGCGCGAACTCGCGGCACGTGGCTTTGATCCACGGTATCGGGGGGTGTATCACAGCGCGGTCCGTGGCCCCCTGACAGCGGGGCTGTTCCCGAACCACGTGGCGTAGGGCATCCCGGCGCGAATGCATCCCCGGCACTTGTCACCCGGTCCTCCCCGGCTGAGTCAATTCACGACTTGTCCGCGTGACTCCGAGCAGAGTCTATGTGACTGTCAGCACTGACAGCAGCGCGGCTGACTCAGGCGCTGCGGGGCCCTCCTGGCCTCAGGCGGGCCTCCCTCGCGCGCTGTGACCCCTCAAAATCCGCTGCGCATCGCCACGTGCTCGCCGACGTGCCGCAGCGGCGGCAGCGGCGGCACGTGTTGTGACGGCCGGCGCCCATATCGACCAGCTGGCTCTGACGTCAGGCGTCTCCGGTCGCGTCTGTGGCGCTCGGCGTCTGTGGCGCTCGGCGCGGCCGAGCCGCTCAATTGGTGTGCGACACACAAGGGCGGCGTGGCCGACGCCGTTGCGTCACGGCCCGTCAGCGGGCCGCCTGCAGCCCCGGTCCCCCACGCTCGCGCGCCGCCGCCACCTGCAACACGAGCCGGCCGCCGCTGCGCCAATTTGGCGGCCAGCTGCCGGCCGGCGGCGCCCCGACTGGCCGCCAGCGAGCGCTGGCTGCTCGGACGGGGTCACTGGAGTGCCACTGGCCTCTCGGACGGGGTTCACTGGAGTGCCGCTGGCTGCTCGGCAGGCCCCTGGAGTGCCTCTGGCCGTTTGCTTAGGCAACTGGAGTGCCGCTGGCTGCTCGGGCAAGTCACTGGAGTACCGCTTGCTGCTCGGGCAAGTCAATGGAGTACCGATGGCTGCTCAGGCAGGTCGCTGGAGTACAGCTGGCCGCTCTGTCAAGGAGTGGCTGTGGTCGCTTTGTCAGGTTACCGGAGTGGCTCGGTTCGCTGTCAGGCCGCTGAAGGGTCGCTGTCCTGTGCCTGGGGTGACGCCGTCTGCCATCCCTATGGACACTGTTTGACTGATGTCAGGACTGTACCCAGCTCTCCCGGCTAGGTCGGGGACCCGAAGCCGGACCGGAGCCGGACCGGAGCCGGACCGGAGCCGGACCGGAGCCGGACCAGAGCTGGCCGAATCGATTTGTGAATCCGGCGCCGAGCGGACGCTGTATAACTGATAGCATAACTAATATAACTAATATAGCATAGTATAACTAATGCCCCTGGCGTGCGGGAGGTCAGATCAGCGCACCGGTATTGGCGCCTCCTGTACTTTGAGAGGGATGGGGGCGGTGCCGAACTCTACTCAGAACACTTCAGCACCGACGGGTTACCCTAGTCATGACGCCGGTACCACTGGTTCTTACTCGCCCAGGGGACCGCGGCGCTAAAGCGCCGCACAATTTTTCGCGATGCGGTGCAACTGTGACTGGCCCAGTCTCAGACGAAGATGTTGTCCGAATTTGCGCGTGAAGCGAACTTTTTCTAAGCATGAGGGCCCCCCGTCGTTGAAAGCACGCGTGTTGCTGACGGAGATTTCTCGAGGGCTGTGTGTGCATGGTTGTGAAGGCTTCACTGCGGGCAATACGTTGAGCCCGAGGGCTGCGCGCTATGTTTGTGGATGACAAACACAGAAACCTTCACGAGTCACTGCGCGATGGAACATTTGTATGGGTGTTTCTTTGTGTGCCAATCACCTCGAGCCAGGTCGTAGATGCTCTTGGAGTGATGGGTGCGCTAGGGCCCACTGTTTTTTTCTGTTGGGTGGGAGTGCGGACAAACCCTTCAGTCCCAGTCTGGTAAGGTCGCAAAGTGCGCCATCCCGCAGCCCCACTGGTATTTCTCTCGTGGCGTTTTTTAACGTGTTGTTGTGCCAGCTGTGTGGCTGGATTAATGTTCAGTTTGGCTGATGTTGATGAATGGGCCCACGGACTTTGACCACAGCCGCACATGGGTGAGTGGCAACCGCACAAGAGGCTGAGCCTGCTTTGCGGCGGGCATGCAGACGGGCGTGGGGGACGGGGGCGTACTGTTGTCCACCCCAGACCAGACCAGGCCTCCGTTTCGTGACAAGACCATTCGCCTGGACTTTTATGCGGAGAACACCCCCAAAAAGGCCAGTTTTGTGGAAGGTTTGGCTGTTTGCCTTTCGTGCAGGTCCCTCGGTTGATTTAGCGCAATGATAACACAGCGGTTCCCGGCCGGCCATGCAGGAGCCAGCCATCTTTTCAAAGTTCACTGGCTTTGATCTGCTAGCTTCACCAACAACACTGAATTTGGGTTTCATTTTTTTCTGTATTAAGTATAAGGCCTGTTGTGTAAAACCACATATGACTTTGTCGGGCGTGTTTGCTGCCAGAATTTTATTTGACTTCTGTGCGCTTCCCTAGTGCGGTATGCTTGCATGTCATGTACCCACTCAAACGTTGAATGCACATGCCTTTGTCACTTCACTCCCTCCTTAAGATTTCGTCTGTTTCGTGTGAAAAAGATAGTGATAACAGGTGCGATGCTGTGCCACTTCACATGATTCCAAAATAGACCTGGTTATCCGGGTCAAGGAACAGCAATGTTTAGACGATCTCGAGACATTAAAACTCTTGTCTTTGTGTGACTCATCGTTCAGCACCGAATTACCTCATATTTAGGAACGAAGCAGCCCGGCAGGATCAGTGCCCGTCTCGCCAAGAGCTGGCAGGCACGTCGGCCTCCGATCTGGAGATCGCCTCCAGGAGTGCATGAGTGCTTCGAACCACTACACTGCAGCTTCTCACAAGGAATGCCACACTTGCCAAACTCCAAGGCCCGCTTGCAGGAAATTTGCCACGATGCCCACACGGCGGATGCTCCCACACTTGTTCGCGATCCAGTGCCGCGCCGCCGAGCGTCAACCGGCAGCGGCCCCTGACCTGACCTGACCTGATCTGATCTGACCTGACCTGACCTGATCCGACCCGATCTGACCCGTCTCGCCGGCTCTTGCAGACGCGGTGCGCCCCGTCCCCGGCGCGTGGGACGACGCCACCATCTACGAGGACATAGACGAGGTGGGCGACGACGGCACGCCATTCAGCTCCGACCGGCTGGAAGTGCGCCGCCAGCTCAGCTCCGACAGCTCATGGAGCGAGGAGTTCGAGTCGATGTCGGAGCCGGATGAGCCGCCGGCGCCCGCCGACAAGTGAGTACCCCAGCCTGTCGGCGCGCCCGCCGGCAAGTGAGCACCCCAGCCTGTCGGCGCGCCCGTTGGACGCTTCGCAACACGCCGCCGGGATTTTTGGTGGCTTCGTAGAGCTCACGAGGATATATCGGTGGCTAATAAGCTCACGCCTTACGCTGTTTCTTCTAAGCCTCATTGTTGGCGAGCCGGACGGCGGTCAGCTGGTAACAGCACCCGGCCGGTGGTTCGCTGTGGTGCTGACGTCACCCGGTGGTCAGGCCGACACTCCAACGGCGCCCGTCCCAGGGCACCGCTCAGGGCATCTTGCTCCGCCGGAATTGGACGGAGCGCTCGGAATGTGAATTGAATGCTATAGCGACCAAATGTGACATTGACACATCGCCAAGCCGCGCTCAAATCCTCCTGCGGGCTTATGACGTCACCTGTGATGTCAGAAGTACTTAAGCTCGTAAAGCTCTTAAGTCGACATGCTCCGTGCGCCTTCGTGTTATCGGTACCTGTTACTGGCGGAGGAGAATTTCTAGGAAAACCACACAGCATAGCCCGATATGGATGAACCCGTGCTGATTTGGCTCTTGGGGCATGTCAGCACTGAGGATCTGTGGGTCGCTTAGTTGTTCTCGTTGCTGCAGTCTCGGTTTAATGTAATATCAAGTATGTTAATGCCCAACCATTTGCACAAAGTGTGAATGTAATCCCCCATTTACACTCATGGCTTCGCCTTACGGCATTCGGGCTCCGTCATGGAGCACAATAGAGCTAAAATACAGTCATGGGGCAGCCGTGACCTTTCCCCGCGGTGTTGACAAGTCGTCCTAGCAGAAGGTAGGCCTTTAAGAAAACGGGTCACGTCTAGATGGCTGCTTTCAGGTATATCAGTATATCATGAATTGCCGGGAGATAAAGCTGTCAGCTGGTGCGCGTCGCTGCTGGGAACTCGTACAGCATTTATTTGGCGCACTTTCGTGGCCACATACTTGCCCAGAGGGCCCTGCTGCCCCCCCCCCCCCCCCCCCCCCCCCAGTGTGCAGTACGACGCTCGTTAGGATTCGTTCGTCCTTGCTTGGTTTCGCTGCTGATATGAAGCATATGGTTTGGTGTTTTCCTGAATTAAAAGACAAAGCGCAAAGAAAACGCAACATCTGCCTGACATTTCCGCGCAGCGAAACTACCATATAGGTCTAGGAAAATCACACGGGGATTTTTGTCTGCATAAGTTGCATGGATTGGATGCTTCCTAAGCCTGGATGACATCCTTAGACTTTGTGTGATTGTTTGCATCGTCAGCGAATCAACAGAATCAAGTTGTGCTTTCCTCGCAAACCAGATCCTTTCCATGCTTGACGGATGTATTGCAGGCCGACAAGGTCTCTATTAAAAAGTTTGATTCACGCACAGGTGCTCCTCGGAAGCTGTGTTCCAAATCCATGGCATGCTTTGCACACAACATTCGGTGTGTTCAGTCCTTGTTTCCTCATTAAAGGGAATTATAAAACTAGCCGGCAAACATGGAATAATTATGACAAACTAGCCGTACAGAATGGCCAGCGCGGCGGACGGGCTGCGGACGGGACCCACTTGTAGTATTCCAACTTGTCGATAGGTGTGCTTATGGGTACGTTGTTTGCATAACCTAATGCTCTCGTGGTTGTGCCCTTTCTCGTGGTATTTTTGCATATTTGTCCGTGATTTTGCGTTGTTTACTTGCATTCACATATTTCGTCGTCCTAATGCGTACCACTGTCTAAATTCCTGTATTATGCAGCACAAAACGTGATTCGTGTTCGAAACACGCGCTGAACGCATTGTAGTGGTCAACAGCCTACTGAGGTACGTTGGCGCCAGCAGTTGTGCAAACGCACGCCAAACACAAAGAACTGGATGGTCATATTTTTCTTGGCCTTGGGCTTCACATGGCCAATGGGGTGACAGTGTTTGTGTGACACTTCTGTCACGTCATGCACGCCTGGCTGATCTTGAAATAGGTGGCGCGAAACAGCTTATAAGTTCGCGGGCGTTAAGCTCAGAAACCAGAAAGTTTTATCTCTTAGAAATGACAGGGCTGTGAACTGCACTGATTCTCCAAAATGGGTATATCATTTGAAAACCTCATACAAATATGAAATACTGCCATCAATACCCAATACTATGTCAGCAGGAAAGCACTTTCTGAGGACGATATTACTGTTTGTAGCAGGAAATCGTCTGGGTGCTTTGCCTGAATGCATGGTGGTGACACCATACCGGGAAAAGCGCGTGTAGCTGTTATTGCCCGCGTTCTGTAACAAACACTCGAGCGCTGGGTTATTTTGGCGCCCTCTATGCCCACCGGAGGCGGCAGGACGCACGGAGACACTCTCTCGAGGTGGTGATGAAAAGACGAAGGTATGCAGATGAAGGACAAAGAAAGGCGTGATTGGAATAAAAATGGACCTCCCTATTCTTGGAGCCATCTAGACCATGTGTATCACAGACTATGTGAACGTGCGCACTTAGTGATGGTAGAGGGGTCGCCGCCTCCCCAACAACTATCTCAAAGATCTGCCCTCTTCAGCCAAGTGATTCCAAGGAGGCATACGCTGTCATACCCCTTTAAGGTGCGCCTTTGATAAAAGCTGCCGCCAGTGGTGGGTGGATATATTTTGCATGCAAAATGTCCTTCAGAAGGAGTCGCATGACCTGACGGCCAATAAATCGATGCTGCTCCGCTGCCAGAGCCCAGCCCATCCAGGTGAAAACCTCTGAAAGGTCACGGGCTGCGCCTCGTTGCGTCCCGACGCGCCGAGTTTGAATGTTCGAGTCGCCTCTCGCGCCGAGGCTGGATTCCGTTCTGCGCGCCGCGGAGTGCGGCTTCCGCTGAGCCGGCGCTACGTCTCTCTTTCCCTCCTCTGACATCACCGGCGCAGGCATGCACATACCTACATCGCGGACGGGGCATGCAGGACTGTGACGGACGCCGGTCGGCCTTGGGGCATGGTTTTGCTCGTGGCGTGGCACGGCAGCGCTGCGGTCGCCGCCAGGTCCGCGGGGTGGACGCGCTCCGCACACTGGCGCCGGCTGCAGACCTCCGACGGTTTACAGCCCCCACAATGGCGTGGCCCGCCAGCGGATCGTCTTGCTGGTTTTTGCCCCGTGTTTTCAGCGTGGGTTCGGAATGTGCCTTCACTTAACTTGCAAACGCAAACTGGAAAGAGAGGCTTTGATTGAAAACCATTCGGCAAGCTGACGCCTACGCGTCTGACCTGTATCGCCGTACAAGTGCGGCGTCGTGTCAAGCGTGCGTCCGTTTTCCAGATGGTGAGCAGCGTTACGTGAGTGAGCGGTGCACGTTCAAAACCCATTCAGTTGCTTCTGCGGTAGCCACGGTGCATCTACGGAGAAGCCGAGCGAGTTCCAAGTTGCCACCGGTTTCCGCAAAGGCCTGTTTTCACAGTTGAGATCTTGAAAACCCACCGTCCGTTGCAGTACTGAGAGCATGACATCCGTTTTGCCGTTGTGGTTTGAGAGGCGCTCTCACGTGGGCGTGTAGTGAGGCTCATAACGAGGCGCACAACGGGAGCCCCTCCCACTGGGGCGCAAAAGCAACGAAGCCGTTGGCGGTGCGGGGTAAAATTTCTGCCCAGCAGGCGTCCGCTTATTATTTTTGTACTGCCCGGGCGTGGCGAGAGGCGGCAGTGGAGTGGAGGACCAGAGAACACTACCATCTAAGCGGTCACCGGGGCAGACTGCCGCCCAGCCGGACCAGAGCGGCTGGCTGAGCAGACCACCGCTTGAGCCCGTCCGCCTGACCAGAGCGACTGGCAGAGCAGACCACCGTCTGAGCGGTTACCTGCGCAGACTGCCGTCCAGCCTGACCAGAGCAGCTGGCTGAGCAGACCACCGCTTGAGCCCGTCCGCCTGACCAGAGCAGCTGACTGAGCAGACCACCGTCTTAGCGGTTACCTGGGCAGACTGCCGCCCGCCTAACCAGAGCGGCTGGCAGAGCAGACCACCGCCTGAGCGGTTACCGGGGCAGACTGCCGTCCGCCCGACCAGAGCGGCTGGCAGAGCAGACCACCGCCTGGTTGGTATCGACCGACCGGCAGCTCGCAGCTGCTGCAGCGTCAGCCGCTGTGACCGACCGGACTGTGGGTCGGGGAGAGGGGGGCGGGGGCGGCTGTGGTCCGCGCTGGAACGTCGCGTCCGGGTGCTGTCGGGATGCTCGTGCTCCCACTCCCTTGACACGGTGGGCCGACGTGCGCTGGTGACCGGGGTGCGCCGGTGATGGCGGAAGACGAGCCGTGCCGGACGTGTCGGCGGGACGGCGACCGTGCGGTGTGCGGTGCGCGGTGTGCGGTGTGCGGGGTGCGGGGTGCGGGGGCCTGCAGGTGACGGGCGAGCGCCGCCCGCCGCGCGGCCCTGACCGGCGCGGCTGTCCGCCCGGATCGGTCGGTCCAGACGCAGGGCGCCGGCGCGACGGACCGGCTCATCGGCCGTAAGACCGGGCCGTGGCCTCCGCCCGTCGCAGCTGGGATTGCAGGACGTTTGACAGCTGCCCTTGTCGGGATTCTAATTTGAAGACGCCTTGTATGCCGTGAAAAATGGTCGAGTCCGTCATGTTTGGAATGGTTGTCGTACTGTGTGCGTGTTAAGACGCCGGAAGAACACTGCTACTTGTTTTGGAGAGATGTACCATTTGTCTCCCCAGCTTTGAAATTATTGGTCGGCTTAGAAGAAATGCATCACATTGAATCGTCTTTATTCATTACGGTACAGGCTTTCTCAGCAACTTGGTTCTCGAAATATACGGTGTTTATCAACATTGCCTCCCGTTAATCCAAGTCTGATGCCGTATTATCTGTTTCGGAGTGCGCTTTTAGAACCGTGGTTGTATTCAGGCGCTGCTACATACGCATTCTGCGTACTGCCTCCCCTGTCGCTTCAAGGTATCACACGTCAGTGAAATCGAATGTCGTGGAAGCTACAAGTTTACTTACAACTTCCTTGAACACCTGGAGCCA